ATATTGCAAAAAGATCAGTGTCGGAATCCATAAAGGCAAGTTATAGTATTCAAAGGAGTTACAATTATGAAGTTTCTTCACACGTATTAGTAAGCATTTTTTAAATTTTATATGGGATTCCTGTGGCAGTAGATCAAAAATTTTGATTTAGTAATTTATAAAATCAGATGTCTATTACTTTAATTTGTTAAGAAATTAATTATTAACATTTTAATATTAATGTGTTCAAAAGCAAAAAAATAGAGGAGCTACAACACCCAATAAACCAGTTATTTTACCAAAAATCAGAGAGTTATATCCTCAGGTTTCATTTACAAAAAGAATAAAGATTAATCATAAAAAACTTGACGATTTAAAAATTTTAAGAACAAAATTTGATCAAAACGATCAAGTTGAGAAACCTAAAACTGACGATCCAATTAGATTAGAAAATCTGAAAAATTCAAAGACAAATTTTGATTGAAATAATCAAGTTGAAGAGTCCGAAAATGTAGTTAGGTTGAAAAATCTAAATCAAGTCGAGGACCTTGAAAATTTAGATCGAGATAGGTTGAATAACCTAAAGAATTCAAAGACAAAAGGTGATCAAAATGATCAAGTTGAGGAACCAGAAAATGAAAATCAAGAAAATCTAGAAAATCTAGAAGATCTAAATCAAGTTGATGCCGTAGATTGGCACGAGTGGCTGAAAAATATTTTGGAGGTTAGTGATTTAAAAATAACTGCTAGATGGTTGCTTATACTAATCTTATTGTTTTTTAGTTTCCAATAGAAAAAATTAGAATACAAATTTTAAGTCCATATATTGCGAAAAATGAATTTGAGAATGTAATGATCAAATATATTAGAAAAGTTTTAATGGATTTGTAAGTTAGTTGTAATAATATATTTATGACGTTTTTTTAATTCATGGGTAAAAATATAAATTCATTATTAGTGTCCACAAAATCATCGATATTCCCGGCCATATTATGTATATTGATGTTGTTGAGAGAGATTGGATAATTAACAAATTATCACCATTGTTTACATACTTCCAAGCGATGTTTATAAATAAAATACAGTTTCATTGGTAAATATATTTTATAATTTTTGAATAACTCATAGATATGATTACTTACATATTCGAATTTATAGGATTGAACATGATATTGAACCTATTTATGAGCGTCTTGTTATTGAAGGCAATACTTCGAATAAAGATAGGATGAAAGCAGATATAGTTGGTGTCCAGCTTTCAGATAGTCGTCAAGTTATATTTTTAGAAATGAGTGGAGCTCCAACCGATTTTTTAAAAAATCATCCAATTGATGACGCACATAAAACACTCCAAGAACAAATTGATTCCTTAAATTCTATTCTTCTAAATTTTCTCGATTATGATGTTCGATTTGCAGATGGAATTCGTTCTCTAACTATCCAAGGAATTAGTAAGTAGTATTTTGGATCATTATTCAGATTTAAAGCAAACAAAATTTATATCTTTTTTGTATATTGCAAAATAGGAGATCATTTAACATTAAGATCAATATTTCTAAAAGGAAAAGATGACTACGTTGATGAAGAAATACTATCTGCGGTTTTTCCGCTTAGCTGGGATTTCCGATTTCAATTTCGTGAAATATTTGAAATTATGGAATATTTAATATTATTTGTTATAGAATATCCGGATATCATAAAGGAGTTGATAAATCATCCTGCAGATTCTCATGAATTTGCTATTCGATATTGTATAACTGATCAATAAATAATTTGGCTTTGCTTGTATAATAATCGGTGATGTTAAAACACTAAAATTGGTTATATTAGTCACAAATTGGTAATTAACTATATCAACTAACCAACTTGTTGCATAAATCAGTTTATAAAAATTTACGTCTCTAGTACATCAATTTTAATTGTGGTAAATTTTAATCATAACTGTGAGATTCATTCGTCATTATGTTGATTAACACAACAGTCATTGATTGGGGTAATTCACATCAAATGATTTACAACCATATACGCATTATGTGTAAGATTTTTTAATCAATTGCGATTTTACAATTATCTCTACATTACTTAATTACAAATTTACTACAATTTCAGGCGCCTGAAATTGTACTTAAGCCCTTGAAATAAGATTTTTTTTTTTTGCATCCATTAGCTATTTTAGGCAAGTGTAACTTCATAACAAAAACAAGTATAACTCAATATCGATATCGATATAACTGTCAGACTATTTGATTGGTAAATTGTGCTACGTTACCCATATTGACGCAGTATTATATATTTTACTAATTTTCATACAAACAAGATTTTAAACAGTTATGAATTCGTCTGATGATTTAATTCAAAAGTGCCTTATTGAAGGGCATATTAAATTTTACGAATATACTCGCTTCAAGGATATTGAGTTGATCGGAGAAGGTGGACATGGAAAAGTGTACCGTGCTACTCTCAAGAATAACGAAATTACTGTCGCATTAAAATCATTTAAAAGTAATAATGTGACCATTAAAGAAATTGTTAATGAAGTAGTTGGTCAACATATTATTCATTATATAGAATTATATTAATATTCATTATTATAAATTATAAGTGTTTATAGCTTAAATTACACTGTAAAGTGGATATGCATTCTAATATTATACGCCTACACGGCGCTACTAAGAACGAAGGTAATGCAATTAATTTTGATATATAAATGAAATACTATTTCTTTGAATTCACCTATTTGAACTTACGATAGATCAACCGAATTTAAGTTCCTCACCTTATATGTTTGTTCTTGAATATGCTGATAGCGGTACTTTAAGATCGTATTTACGAAATAATTTTGAACATCTTTCCTGGAATGATAAAATTAATTTTGCGCTACAGATTGCTAGTGCTGTTAAATCATTGCATGCCGAAGATATAATACATCGTGACTTGGTAATTTTTTGATTATAATAGGTTATGGCCTTTGTTATTTTTATCAAACTAAATGTTTATAATTTTTAATAGCATTCAAGCAATATTCTTATTCATCAAAAGAGTATTAAACTTACAGATTTTGGACTTTCGAAAAGATTGGATGAAGTAACAAATTCAAGTCAAAAATTTGGTGGTATTATTCCATATATTGACCCTCAGAGCTTTGAAGGATCAAGAAACGAAAATAGAACATTTAGATTTAATAAAAAATCCGACGTATATAGTGTTGGTGTTCTTTTGTGGGAATTATCTAGCGGCTATCCACCTTTTAAAGATGATGTTAAGCCATATCAGCTTGCTTCGTTAATTGTGGATATTAAAAATGGTGTTCGAGAAACTCATATTGAAGGAACACCGTCCACATATATCAAGATCTATTCAGGTATATTTTATCTGTTGTTATTATCTTTAGCGAAATTTTACTAATAATTTTAATTAATAAATAGATTGTTGGCAACATGATCCTGATAATCGACCAGATATTCAGCATGTCTTTTTAAACCTGAAAAATTTAATTACCAATGATAAACAGTCTATAAGTAGTATTGCTCAAGACTCGAATACGTTAGAAATTCATGGGTCTATTCGATTAGTTGTTCAAAGTAGTTTGTTTATTTCTGATTCAACGGAAGGAATTTTAATGCAAAATACCTCATCACTATTAAACTATGATGAAATGGGTGATTATGAAAAAAGACTTTTAGATCTAAACAAATTCTTGGAAATGGATCCAAATAATATAACTGCTTTAATAAGCCGTGGAGAAACTTCATAATTGTAACTCCTTTGAATACTATAACTTGCCTTTATGGATTCCGACACTGATCTTTTTGCAATAT